GAGATGTCAGCTCCTTGTTTAGGCTCTTTGTGTAGGTTCCCAGATACTTTAATTTTTCTTGAAGGTATGGTGAACTGTTTTCCTGATTTCTTTTCTCAGATAGCTCATCACTGGTGTATCAAAATTCATCGAGCTTTTCATGTAGATTTTGTTTCCATGTCCATATTTCTACAGCTGTCTGTTCATGACGATTTTTGTACTCTCTAAAATGATGTAAGTTTTCTGTTCTGTGATTCTCACTTTCTTCCATGGCCTCACAAGGGGAGTTCACATCTATATTTGCATCAGAAGTATCTGCAAGGAAAGCCAGGGTTTTAAAAAGTTGTTCTTCAAAATTCTTCCAGCTTCTGCCATTGCCCAGTTCCAAAGAGATTTTCATATTTTTAAGTATTTGTAACCACAGCACCCACAGACCAGTTTCCTTTTGCTGCTGTAGCAAATTACTACAAAAATAGCAAACTTATGATATTACATTTGTGGAAGTCAGAAATCTGAAATGAGTCTCACTAGACTCAAACCAGGGTGATAGCAGGCTTGCTTGCTTTTACAGAGGATAATTTTCTAGGCTTCTCCAGCTTCTAAAGGGTGCATACATCCCTCAGATAATCCCCTTCCACCCTCAAATGCCATAATTGCTGGACAAATCCTTCTCCCATTATATCACTCTGCTCTCCCTGACTCTGACACCACAGTCTTGCCTCTGTCTTTCTTTTGTAAGGATCCTGAGCCCATCCAAATAATCTGAGATAGCCTTTGGATTTTGAGATTAACTGATTATCAACTCTAATTCCATCTGTGTCCTTAATTTTCCCTTGTAGCACACAGCATATTCACAGATGGTGGGAGGTGCCATGTGAGCATTTTTGGGGGCCCACAATTCCGCCCATCACTCTGCCACTAACAGATATCACCTTTGGCAAAATATAGCAGACAACATGTCTGTCACCATGACAATTTCACCAAATTCAGAATGCTTCATACATGTCTGAAACAGGGCTAGAATTTAAGGACTCTAACCTTATATAATGTGCTATTTCCAACTGAAATTTCATTTCCAAAAGAGACATTTTGGAGCGCCAGCATGATCCTAATTGTCAGTGCTCACAGTTCAAAACTGATCTGATCAAGAGTTTTTAAAAATTGAAAATAAGTAATTCTAAGAAGGGATGTAAAAGATAATGAAGTGTCTCAGTCACTTTCTCATCACTGAAAAACAATATCTGACACCCACAAGTCTAAGGAGGAAAGGTTTATTTTTGGCTCACAGTTTGCAGAAGTCTCGTGCACAGTCCTGGCTGGCTCCAAAGAAGAGCGGCATAACAGAGGGGCCTGGCAGAGCAGAAGGAGCTCATGAGCTGGCAGCAGGACGCAGAGAGAGATCAAGGGAGGAGGAGGGACACGCAGCCCTTCCCGACCAAAACCCCTGCACCCCCAGCACCACATTTAGCTACAAACTCACAGTGGCCTAATCCACACGTGTGTACCACACCTCCTGGTCCAGTCACCTCCTGAAAGCTCCAGCTGTGAGCACATGAGGCTTTTGGGGCACATCTAGATATAAGCCACAACATTCTTTCCCTGACCCTCAGAAGACTTATGGTCATTTTTTTAATGCAAAATGCTCTTAGTCCATCTCCAGGAGTTGCCAAAGCCCTAACAGTTCCAGCACTGTTGAAAAGTCCAAGGCCAAAGTCTCCTCTGAGATTTAAGAGAAACAATTATGTAGTTGTAAGCTCCTGTAAAAATAAAAAATTAAACTCAGGGGACTCTGTGGCAGGGCATGAACTCCAAAGGGCTTGGGTGGCCCTGGCCCTGTGGCATTGCCAGTGGCTGCAGCCCTCATGGCTTCTCTCTTGGGCTTGGCTTCGTCACCTCTCCTGACTTTCCTCAGATGATCCACATTCCTGGCTTCCCCGTTATCCTGGGGTCTCCACCACACTTTCAGCTCCACACCCTGCCTGGCCTCTCAGGGTGTCTTCTAAAATCTGGGTGAAAGCCTCTCTAACTACACAACTCTCGCACCCTGCATGCACCTAAAACCCCACCGATGAGGCCAAGGGCTGCTGCCAGCTGGAGCAGTAGCCAGGTCCTTTTCGTCTTGTTGTGTTTACAGAAGCCTCTCTGAGCCTAGGGTTGATGACCTTGGTGAATCAAATCCTGGAAATCAATTCCTTATGTAGCCCTTCCCTATCAGAGAGCCCCGGGGGATCTCTTCTCAAACCAAGGCTTTTCACTTTTGCAATTCTGAGCCTGTGAAGAATGGGGCCTCCCAAGTTCTTCACAGGCTGTTAAACCATTTCCCTGTCACACTGTTGTGAAGTACTCAACTTCTCTTTAATGCTAAGCTTTTTAGCAGCCAAACTCTCCTCTGCTCCATCTTTGCAGGCCCCAACTTTACCGGAGTTTTCTTTCTGGCCAAACTCAGAGCTTTTGAAATCATTCAGCTGTGGCTTTTGCTCTTGATTTTCAAGGTAGAGTAGCTAAAAGCCCCTAACAGTACCCACGCCACTGCCTGAATGTTGGGCTGCCGAGAAATTTCCTCAGCAAGTTTAATTAATCCACTGCCCTTAATTAATCTCAGTCTTCTGCAAATCTCATGCCTCTCTGGATGTGAGCCAAATGCAGACAAACTGCCTGCTAGAGCACAACACACACTGCCTGGAGCCCAACCACCACTGAAACCCTTCTTCCCAAATGAAACCTCTGGAGTCTGGTCTGAACCGGCTGCATTACTGCCAACATTCTGGTCTTCCAAGCTCTGACCCGGATCTCCCATCAAGCTCAGCTCAGCATTCTCAAGTCAGCACCTCCAAAACTTTTCAAACTCCTCCCACCAGCCAGTTTCAAAGTCTTCTGAACCAGGTAGCTCACAGTAACAACCCATTGCCCTGATACCAAAATCTGCCCTGGTTACTTCCTCATTCCCCAGACACAGTAACAACTGACACCCAAATCTAAGGAGGAAAGGCTACCTTCCCTCACAGTTTGTAGAGGTTTCACTTCACAGTTGGCTGGCTCCGAGGCAGGGTGGCATGGCAGAGGGGGATGACAGAGCAGAAAGAGCTCATGGTTTGGCAGTGGGAAGCAGAGAGAGATCAGGGAGGAGGAAGAGAGAGAGAGAGAGAGAGACCCTGCCAGGCCACGGCCCGGGGACCCACCTTCTATGGCCTTCATCTCCCTATCCCTCATAGCTTAAACTCATCTGTGGACTAACCCACTGAGGAGAACCACACCCCGATGGTCCAGTCACCTCCTGAAAGCCCCACCTACGACCACATGAGGGTTGAGGGGGCATCTAGATATAAACCATGGCAAAAAGCTAGAATTTGTCTTATCTTTCTTGTTTTTGAAGGTTGTTCTGATCTGGTAGATGGTAAAATCAGTGATTTGTATTCTTCCTAAAAACAGTGATTCGTTCATCTCCTCCCTGTCCCTGCTTTTCTCTTCTTTTTGTCATGAGCTTCTTAGGGTCCATAATGCAAGTAGAAAGGAGCTCACTGCCCTCGTTACTTCATTTGAACAGATGTATCAATAGTAGCCCAGAAAAATTAAAACCTGGGCTTAAAAAGATTAAGACACTCTATTTTGAGCTTTGATATACTTCATAATGTTTTCAAATCAGTGCTTCTCAAATTTTAATATGCATAGGAGTCACCTATAGATTTTGCTACATGGCTCTTCCGGCTCAGGTCGTGTGAGGCAGGGCCCGGGTTCTATATTTCCAGTGAGATTCCTGGCATGTTGATGCTGCTAACACACCAGCTACCCCGAGTGCAAGGATTTGGGTCACATCTTTGGTTGTTAGAGTCACTTCATCCGCATGTGTGAAAATACTGCGCGTTTGAATACCTTTGTACCGCTGTCAATTATAGGTATGAGAAGAAACACAAATATCTTTGGCTGTTTTGCTAGAGCCAACAAGGGTATGGAAGTGTTGCTTTATTTTGAATAATTGCCTTTGCTAATATTTGCATTGTCACAACAACTTTTCTGTTCTTAAGCGAAACCAAGTAGGTTTTAACCTTCATCTCAAGGAGCAGAAAACAGCCCCAGGAGATGGTAAAATGTCCAGGTATTCATTTATCTACTCAAGGGCCGTTTTACTGAATCCCTACTATAAACCTACTATGAAGGCTTTTGGCTGCAAAGATTATCTCTCTCCTTAGGGTCAAGGAACTCACAGTTCCTAGAGTACTGACAAGTTAAACGCGATACTTAGCAGGGAGTGTGGGGCACCATCAAATCCGAGGACGACAGAGGCAGACGAAGCGGTTGTGAGGTCCAGGAGGGACAGAATCTTAGCAAGCCCGATGCTAACAGAAGAGAACGCGAGGGGTCCGGGGGGAGGAAGCCAGCTCTCAGGGTAGCTTCTTCCTGTTTTCTGCATTTTTCCTTTCTGCCAAGGGCACCGCTCCTTAGCCTTCCCATCTGTACCATTTAGTCCTGAGGGTCCTTCTGCCAGGCACACGCACACGCCCAGCACCGAGCGGGAAGCCCGCACATGGGACACAATCTCGGCCCGCACAGGCTCGGGAGAGCCGGCCTCCAACCCAGCGGCCGGGACGAGGGCGGCGCGGGAGCAGATCCGACTCCCAGCAGAAACCCCGGCGCTGGCCGCTGCGGAGTAGCACGGTTTCGGGCCAGCGCGGCGCGGAGAATTCCTGGCCTCCGCGCTCCGCGTCCCGGCGTCTGCGGGTTCGGGCCCTGTAGTGCCGAGCGGGTGCAGGCCCGGGTCTCGCCTCGTGGGCAGCGGGTGTGAGCTCGGCCGTGCATGCGAGGGCGCACACTCGGGGCGACAGGTGCAGCCCGCCCGCCGCTGCCGCTGCCGCCCTCCCTCGGGTCCGCAGGGCAGCGACCCTGAGACGCGGCCCCGGCCCCTGCCCCTGCCCCTGCCCCTGCCCCTGCCCTGAGTGAGCGGCCGCGGGCTGGGGTGGGGTGGGGCCGGACGCCGAGGGAGGGCGGGGGCCGTGAGCGTGGGTAGGAGCGCAAGCTCGCGGGGCCGGGGCGCGAACTTGGTGCGCGGCGCGAAGTGAGTGCGCGTGAGCGCGCGTGTGAACACTCCAGGCTCCTTCTGGGCTCGCGGAGCGGCCCCGACCCGCCCGGTGCGGCTCAGCCGGCCTCGGGGCCTCGGGGCGGCTCCGGTCCCAGGGCTCCGCCTGGCCGCGCCCGCCCCTCGCTCCCGATCAGCCGCTGGCATCGCCGGCTAAGGGCGCGCAGCCCGCTCGGAGGCCCAGGCTTCCAGGACTCGAGCCTCCCTCCGCTGGGTCTCCGGACAGGGATGGATCCGCTGCTGCTGCTGCTGTTGGAAGAGCGTTGGTAACGCGGGGCGATTTGGGGCTTTCTGGTCGCGGTTTCTTTGCGCGTCTCGAGCTCTAGCACTGGCGTTGGTGGTGCCTGCACCCGGTTACTGAGGAGCCTGGAAGCGCGCGGGGTGAATACAGAGCTGTGTCTGTCATAGCGCGGGACTGTGGCTTTTCCTAAAATGATCGCACTGCTTCCTTCAGCAGCGATCACTTCAGATAACTCCCGTGTAAAGCGCTGGGAGTCGACGCTAGCAACAGTGTAGCAATTGGGTGCGCGGAATTCCAAAGCGAAGCTGAACGCGTCCAGTCCCAGCGTGGAAGCTCTGCTACTTCCTGGGGGAGGCGGCCTGTTTCTCCGCTAGGCTCCTGAACAGTGGGGTATGGATCTGTTTCGGGGTCCTGGTGCTGCCGAAGTTACGTTCAGACACGCGAGTTGCTGCGTTTTAGGGGGATAGAGCAGTCTGCTGATACCCGAGGATCTGTGACCTAACGGGAAATAACAGCCCAGAGTTGTAGCGTGTATGCCCCGCTCTTAAAACAGGCTTGGTTTGCTGCATAAAGTCTGCAGACCGAAATTACTAGGAAAGTCTCCGGAATAGTTACCATAATTATTTTATTTTAAATAGACTCATTGGTATGTTTTTAAATATGTCAGCAAGCTTAGTCCTGTGAGGTGTATCTAGTAGAAATGAATAATGATGAATAAATGGATACCTTCTGCTTCTTCCATCTCTTCTTTCTAGTGTATTACAGCAAATAAAAGTACTTTTCTCCGCCTTGAAATCCAACTCAGATATAAAGTAGTTATGGTCTGTGCGATGTTTCATAGTGCGTGAAATATAAATAGCCGTTTGAAGATCCTATTTCGAGATATTCAGCTGTAAAATGGCATATTTAAGATAGTTTTCTGTCATACAAGAATGAGGGAGAAATGTAAAGTTATTTTATTTATATCTGGCGACATGAAAGAAAAACATGTGGAAGACTTCACTACTTAGTTCTTGCATCCGTTATGGTTATGGTTTATTACATGGTCTCATTCTAAGACATTTTGAAAGCTGTTTTAATTAATGTATTTTTCTGTAAACTTAAGTGACGACATTGAAATTCAATTATGATGAGTAATATATCAATAGAATATTTTGTGATTAAACGTCAAGGATTTTGGCATGATTTTCAAATAAAATCGACAAAAGTTGAATCTTTAACTGAATATCACAGTTATTACTAGGATATTGTAGAATTGACAGAAACTGTACAAACAAATGAATTCCTGAATTTACGTTTCCTAGCAATGTGTGTGTGAGAGAGGAATGGTTTTTTTCAAGTTAGTTTAAGATAGCGTGGTATGTACCTCCAAATCTCCTAATTAATGGTTTTTCAGAAATAAGTATCTGATTAGCCTTAAGAACAAATCTTCACAGGTAAGAGGAAATGGAAAAACAAAGCAGTATTCGGATAAGCCAACCCAAGGAGTATGTTATTGATGTTATTTTGGGGGAAGTGGTGATTCAGATTAGCCTTCTCTGTTCCAGATTCGCTAAGAAATTGCTTGACTTCTGTTTGCTAGAATATTTAAATTTATGACACTATTTTTGTACCACTTATTTAAAAACATTTACCCAAGCCACTCTTCTTTAAAATTACTATTTATTTCTTTTCTGCACTCTTGTAGAAACAATTTTTTTTTCTCGAGGATCAGTAATCACAATGGGTTTTTTTTCCCTCTAGACCACCTAGATTCATTCCCACTTGTTAAGTGTTTGTGGAATATTTTGTTTTGTCTGTCTCCATCTTTACTGATACAAAAAGAGCTTCTGGCAATTTTCAGTTCTTCTGTTGAATCAATTTATTTGCCCATAAACTAGTTGATTTGTTTGGGGCTAGGGTATTTCTTGGCCATCCTGAATCATATCTGTTTCTTTATTTTCTTTCTAAACAGTTTGAAATGTCTTAACTATCCCATATTTTCCCTCCCCTGGGTTCAGTTCAGTAAATTTCATCTTCCTGTATCCTGAGGACTGATATCATATGAACAGAGTTATTTGGGAGGAATGAAGAATTTTAGTTGGGGCCAGCTTCCTCCTCAGCCCACAGAGGGAGAAGAAATCTTAAAACTTGAGAGGTTCTTGAGGTCATGGCTTCTTTTCCCACAAAACAATGTGACTCTCACTACTTCTGGTTACTGAATTCTCTTACCTGGCCTGCTTTCTGGCCATTAATAACATTTCTGAAAACAAGCCCTCCCTTTTATCAAATCAAAGCCAAATCAAATTAATTAACTCACAAATCAACTCATTTATCTCCCCATAATAGGAATTATGAGGAAGTCAACAGAAGACAATGGTTGTAGGAATAAACCTCCTGAGAAAAGAAAGTAAGGCAGATGCAATTTGGGTTTTTTGTGTGTTTTGTTTCCACTGCAGATAAACATCCTCACTTAATCTTAATTATTTTTCTATATCCAACCTATTTTGTATGTTCTTTTGTTATTCCATATGACATCAAAAGTGTCTTTATAAATGTCTGCATCTCCTGCCAAATTTGAGTTTCCTTCAGGGCACCCATCCTTGGAGTCACAGCACTTAATCAGGTATTCAGTAGATAGGGGTCTGATGAACTAAATATTTGTGTCTTCCAAATTCCATTAAGGATTTTTGTGCCTTATTGCTACAGATTATTTAGCTTACAGATGCAATGTGTAAGGCTCAGTATTTGCTTGATGAGGAGGCCCTGCCTTGGAATAGTATGGCCTTGTCCCACTGAGACCCTTCTGTACTCTTATATACTTTGCAGCCTGTTCAGAGCTGCTCGTTTGACTGGTGTTACTGTTACCCGCCCCTCCACTGCTTTCTTTTTCTGAGTTTACGTTTTTCCCTATTGCTGCCAGTCCTCATGGCCAATGTATATTAGCCTATCCACTGTTCCTTCTTCCTTGGGAATCTAAAATAACAGAAGTTTTCCTTTCTACTCTTTAATCTGCCATCACTATTTAGGACTTCATTCAACATGTGTGCCTTTGACCTTCACATATTTGACTTTGACCTTAAACAACTTTACTTCTTTTCACTTCCTCTGGTATTCACCCACCCCCTCCTTCTCATCACTCAACTGAAAAGTCTGAGAGTCTCATATTCTTTTTCTGACCACATCTGCTATCCTTCCAAAAATTTTGCTCACTTGCCACCACTTAACACTTTCCTCTCCCATTTTTGGTTCTTGAATTCTAGCATTTTTCTAATATTTTCCTCTTTTAGCATACCCATCTTTGAGTGCATTTTCAATTCTGCTGCAACCCTCAAATTTCTTGCCACTAAATCCATCATAAACCTGCTTCCCACTTTCAGTTTCAACTGAATGTCAGATTCATCACTCTTGCTGGAGATTTAGCTACATGTAATGTAACTGTACCTTGTGGTTAACTATGAATTGATTTTGCTCCACCTACAGTTTAAGGGCTAATTAAAAGTGCTGTGAGGTTATTTTTTCCTTTCTTGGTTAATTTTACATCACTCTTCCATTTCTGTTGGATTGATATTCTCTCCAGATCATCCTCAGCCTTCATTCTTAGCAACTGACCATATTTCCCAATCAAATTAGGAATATTAAGACCATATTAAGATCATTTTTGGCAAATACTTGTCAAGACTAATCTGAAATACAGTAGACTTTATTTGGCCAATTCTGAGCACAAAAACTTTTTTTTTTTTACAATGGTATTATCTCTATAATATCCATGTCCTTACTTAACTTTATTGAGGACTTATATAAATGTCTTTATATATAAAATCTCTTGCAGCCTCTAAGATAATATTCCATTTTTTTCATCCAACTTTATTTGAGAATCTCATTACTAGCAGGCATGGTCTCCTTTGGATGCACATTTTTTAAAAAGCGTGATCCTCAGCCTTCAGGTAGAGGACTGTGTTGGTGTCATTGAATAAATTGGATTATCCTCTCTGGGGTTCAGCAACCTAAGATCTAATCAGCCTTTTTTCTTTTGCATCCATGCCACAGTATATAATTGTTCGGTTATGCAACTCTTTTTCATATTCTTCTGCAAATATACTTCTCCTCAATTTCATGTTTGGCCACTTCATTTGGAGCTTTTGGAAATACTGTAATTCAGTTTAACCTTTACCTTTAGTCAGTTGTTCTAAAAGGTCAAGGCTGCTTTGCGTTCTGATTCCATAATACAGATTAGCCATTCCCCCTATTTGGAGGCACTAAAAGTTAAGTGTGATTACTGAACCAGAGGGATGTTTCTTGTGGTCCTAGACACCTTCTTCCTGCTTTACATTAGTCCCTGAGTTCAACTTCTTTAGAAGGCTGCTTAAGGAGTCACATAGTCAAATAACTTTGAGTTAACTTACATTCCTTTGTGTAACCCTAGAGTGTACTGTGACTGCTCTGGTCTAAATCTTTGCTGGAATTCCTTTGCACTTTCTGTGGAATAGATATTAAGTAACCATATTTAAAACAAAAGGAAATAACACTAAGTTAGTTTATAATATGTTTCTTTGACCTCTCACTGGCTTGTAGGTAACAACACTTTACATTTTGAATGCTCACATAGCATATCTTTAAGAATCTCTTTGGAATAGTGCCCAGAATTAATGGCAAACTCTTTGGCCTCATGGAGGGAATCCACCATCTCTGTTTGGGAAATTTAGGTACTAGCTGGAGAGTTTGTTCTTTATCAACCCTTCTCTTCATCATAATATTTGTAAAGATGATTTTAACAGCTCCTTTATTTTTCCATGAATGCTTTCAGTATTTTGTAGTGTAATTTCTCCAAATTAATGGATTTAAACTCATTTGGAATATTTAATAACCCTATATCCTCAGCCTTAAATTTGTCATTTTAATTTTTGTCCTGTTTTATGAGTATGAATATTATTTTCTTGAAGAAGAGAGATGAAACAAAACAAAAGTGGAGTAGCCAGGCCTGTTAAGGATGATGGTCTATCATTTGAATTCCTTCATCTGTAAGCAGCCAGGATACTCTTCCGA